CCTCTCCCCTCCCCTCCCCCTCTCCCCTCCCCTCCCCCTCTCTTCTCCCCTCCCCCTCTCTTCCCCCCTCCCCTCCCCCTCTCTTCCCCCCTCCCCTCCCCCTCTCTTCCCCCCTCCCCTCCCCCTCTTCCCCCCCTCCCCCCTCTCTTCCCCCCTCCCCTCCCCCTCTCTTCCCCCCCCCCCCTCCCCCTCTCTTCCCCCCCCCTCCCCTCCCCCTCTCTTCCCCCCCCCTCCCCTCCCCCTCTCTTCCCCCTCTCTTCCCCCTCTCTTCCCCCCCCCTCCCCTCCCCCCTCGTTTTCTCTTTCAGATATCAGTGAAACTTCAGGATGGCAATTGCTTGCTTCCATGATAATAACTTAGATTCTTAGCTTAAATTATTACATTTTCCCTACTCATATCTTTTCTTCTCTCATTTCTTGCTTTCCTCTTTCTATCTTCTCCCCTCCCCCCCCCCCCATTTTTCAACTAAGACTAGGGTTTATACAGGCTGTCAACTGATTATAGTATAATTAGTGGAACTGCAAGCAAGAGCTGTACCTCAGCTCATCTGCAGCCTGTTCCTGGAGACCCAATTATTTCATTGACCTATTATATTCATCATTAGGAATAAACTTCATTCATTAACATCGGGTAACAATCATACAACAGGATGAGCCTGTGGCCACCTGTATGTCAGAGCCTTCCTGTGATCAGTTGAGCTGATCTCCCATGTATCTGTTGGAGTGAACAAGATCAGCTGTAAGTCAGCCTAGGAATGAATGATTGCTGATGGAGGGATATTGTTGAGAAGGGTAGCTCCAGCATGAAACTGTTGACGTTGAGAGCATAGTTCGTTTGAGAACTAAGTTGAAGTTCGAGGTTCCTAGTATGTTGGAGGTTGAAGTTCGAGAAGAGAGAATTACTGTAAGGGATATTCCCATAATGTGCAAAACATTTAGGAAGAGCATTGACAAACTAAAATATTCAAAAGCCTCCTCTGTGGATGTGCTTCAGTCCAAAGTCATAAGGAAACTAGCAATTACGTTTACTGAAACAAGTTTTAAAGAAAATCTGAACTATGCAATAGTTCTTATTAGTACCATGCGATACCATATATACCATATATGGTATGATACCATACTTATACATACTAAGTATGATACCATACTTAGTAGAACCATGCGAGTATTTCTTATACTCGCATGGTTATCTCAAGATAACCTCAAGTTCCCCTAGATAGGAAATATGCATCGGGGTCCATGGTTGTTCAACATACTCCCAGCGAGTATAAGATATATTGCCGGAACGACCGTGGACATGAACAAATCCACAAAGGCAGTGATGAGGGTTTGAACCTAAGCACAGGATGTTCCCAGATGCGCCTTAGTCAACTGTACCACGACATGGTTGTAAAATGAACCATGTCATGGTACAGTTGACTAAGGCACGTCTGGGAACGTCGTGTGAGTAGGTTCGAACCCTCATCACAGCCATTGTGGATTTGTTCATTTGATATATCACGCTATTGTGATTTGTGTGTGAACTGTGGACATCTTCAAGAGAGAACTAATAGTATTCTTAAAGGAGTGCAGGACCAACCGGACTGTGGTGGATATGTGGGCCTCGGGCCGGGCTTGGGGGGTAGGGTAGAAAAACTACCAGAACCCTATCAAACGGGTATAGTGTTACGGGTGCCAACTACTGGTTATCCAGAGTTGGGCAAGGTGTTGAACTTTGATACTGTTATGTACAAGGCCAACATTAAGTTCACCAACGTCCCGACGGTGTTGCAGGCTCAGATATTTAAGACCATTCCCACCAGACTTGGTAATGACTAGAGATGAGCCTTCTTGCATGGCTCTTCACCTTGTCCAAAAGTCTCATGAATGATAGATGGCAGGCAATCCAGGAGAGGAGATCCTCTGTTATATGCAGCCCCTGCTTATAAGTTTTTGGTTTTTGCAGCCCCTGCTGTCAAGGTAACCTAGTTCAGATGTTCAGTAGGGCTGTGTGTTTCCTGGCTGCATTTTAGATTAGGTTAAGCTCTCTGTAATGTATATCGGCCTCTCTCTCTCTCATCTTAGTCATGTAAATAGATAATATATTTACCATATTTTAAATATTGCCCATTTTTACCTGTAAAAAAAAATAGATTAATAAATTTACTGCCTGTTCCTAAGGGATGCTCTACTCCAGTATATTTAAAGCAGCTGTCAGAGGAAATGGTTGACACTATCTTTACTATACCCTTGATACTGTGGCTCACGAGTAAAGGCGCAAACTGTTGGGGGACGGGGTTATTCTAAGATGGATTTTGTTGGTTGGTCCCCCCCCCCCCCCAAACAAAAAGTAGTTAGCATTAAACAGTTTTCCACTGACAACTTTATTTAAATGAAGTGGCCCAAAGATTCTGTTATGGGGACCTCTGTTACAGTATAAATAATTTAGACAGGTTTCAACAGAAACATTTGCTGACGATGCAAAAAAAAAAAAGACAAAAATTAGCATTTGGGTGGGAAGTAAATTCAGATTAAACAATCACTAAAAAGATGATGTAGTTAAAACATTTAAATGCTCAAAAGATTGTCAGCTGTAGTTTAACACTGAAAAATGTGTGACACTTGAGCTTGGTAGTAAATTGACATGTATCATCTGTTCAATGCTGAAATTGCCAACATTGCTGCTGCTGTCATTATCGCTGCTGCCACGGCAAGTGCATGCTGTCATCATTGCTGCTGCCACGGCACGTGCATGCTGTCATCGTTGCTGCTGGCACCAAAACTACAGGCTGTCATCGTTGCTGCTGGCACCAAAATTACAGGCTGTCGTCATCAATACTGCCACCACTGTACCCTTCTTACTCTGGAATTACACCAACTCAGATTACCTTGATTGTCTTTGGGGATTTTAGTTATATACTGTGTATGGTATTACAGTATATTGAAAATACCACATGAGCATGCCAAACGAATCCTGCCACCTTGCATATCCAAATCCAGCCCATCCTCCTGTTTTGGTACATACCAACTTACAATGAAATTAGAAAGTAGAAATTGGCATTATTGAGTTGGACAAACCAGAAAATGATTTTTTTTACTCGTGCTGCAAAGTCAAACTAAACTAACATAACCTTCCTAGGCCTAATCTAATGCAGTACATGTGTGCTATACTAGGCCTAGGAATATTTAAGTTTGTTGTTTAGCTTCAATTTCATTTAAAGAATTCCTTACTAGTCCATATCTAAAAGCTGTATTTGTAAGAATTCATAACTATTGACACTCGTCACAATAGGTACTATCTAATTGGGAGGATGGGTTGTAATAACGGACCTACGCAGTAAGTGGCTCACAACTATACCCAGTTTCTATTGCCCAGACACAGTGGAAGAATTGGAAGTCTCCAAACTATATATAAACCAATTTGATATTAAAGCTTAATGCTGGAGTAGTTCCTGAGAGATGAGTAATAAAACATTTGGATACCTGGTATGTTTCAGACACCCAGGATGTGACACTGATTATCCAGTGACATGATGTCACTGGATAATCATGGGGCCCCTCACTCTGAAATTAGGTATCATGAGGGAGTGGTGCCTACAGGTCTCGACACCAGTGCCAGGGTGTCCCTACAAGATGATGTGCAAAGAAACCCCCACACACCAACCCTGTTGGTGTTGCATGTGCAGCATTCATTACGTAGATTTGTACCATGTGTTTTGTAGAAAAAAAAACTTCATATTCAGCAGATTCCTTTTTGTCCAATGAGTTTACCTTGAATTTTAACTAGGTCAATTATAAATGTTTAGTGCCATCATTTATTACTAATGTTGATTGTTTATATGTATGTATGTTGTACCTAATAGCCAGAATGCACTACTTGGCCTAAAATGCAAGACCAGATTTGCATAGCAGACAGATCTTGATCTTCAGATCTGGCAAATTGATTCATTATTTTCAATTTTGTTTAAATTGGTTTGAATTAGTATTATATTAAGAACATGAATTAGAGATAGGTTAGATTTGATCAAATTTGTTAGTTCTCTTATTACAAAAATTTACTCATATAATGGAAAGCTTTATCATTCCATAAATTTTGAATAGAAAATATAGTACAAGTATATACCAGTAATTTCAGAAACATCTTGTTAAGCAACTTGGCCTATTAGGTGCAACATATATATATATATATACATATGTATATACATATATATATACATATGTATATACATATGTATATACATATGTATATGTGTGTGTGTGTGTGTATGTGTGTATGTATGTGTATATATATATATATATATATATATATATATATATATATATATATATATATATATATTAGGTTAGGTAGGGTTGGTTAGGTTTGGTCATATATCTACGTTAATTTTAACTCAATAAAAAAGATATTGACCTCATACATAATGAAATGGGTAGCTTTATCATCTCATAAGAAAAAAAAATTGAGAAAATATAATAATTCAGGAAAACTTGGCTTATTAGGCAAATCGGGCCTTGCATAGTAGGCTGAGAAGTGTGTTCTGGCTATTAGGTACGACATATATATATATATATATCTAGAACTAGGATTGGGATTTTGTATTCACTATTTTCAAAAATCTATTTAAATTTGTTCATCCTTAATCTGGTCTTAGCATTACACTTACTGCCAATACAGGACTGTGTTAGTCAGATCAAGCAAAAATTGGCATTTAAGTTAGGTAAATTTGCTGTTTTAGGTCAAATTAAATTTTTTTTTTTTTAACAAATTACCTGTCAATCTAGAAGTAAAGATCTTGGATAAATCTTAATTTCAATTAAATTCAACTTGTTAGGCAGTTCTGGCTATTAGGCAAGAGTAATATAAAAAAATATCATGCCTAAACCAGTCACCAACCATTTTGTAGGCTAGTTTGATTAAATATAGTATATTCATTAAAATGCAAGTAAACATTTGTGTAATAATCTGGTAAGTATTTAAATAATGTTATCGAGTATAAATAGTAAACTTTGTCCTTGTTACAGGGTCGAAGGAACCACAGAACAATAGCGGTGGTGGCGGTGGAGGTGGGTCATCCCGCCCTCCTCTTCTGCAGGAACCCCGTGGCTTTGGGATGAATGTCTCGCCATTCAGTAAGTTGAGAGTAACTATACCTGGATGGGGTTTTGGGGGGTTCTTCTACTCTGAGCCTGGCTTTGTGATAACTTGGTCCATCAGGATGTTGCTTGGAGCAGCCCACAGGCTCTCGTCTCCACAACCCTGTTGGTCCAGCACTTTTTGAAGGAACCTACTTAATTCATGGACCTCTGATGTTCATACATTGCTCCTGTCAAGACTGCTGTGTGCCTTTTGCATGGAAATCTGGGCATTGAATATGCCTTGTCTTACTTACCTTGCTGTGATTCAGAGGATTGGCGTTCTCGTGGCCCCGGTCTCTGACCTGGCCCCCTGGTTGCTGGTCTGGTTAACCAGGTTGTTGGACATAATTGCTTGCAGTCATAAATCACAGCCTGCTTGATCAGGTATCCTTCAGAGGTGCTTGTCACGTTCACATGAACACAGTAAGAGGTCGGTCAGTTATACCCCTTACGTGTAGTGGGAAGATATTGAACAGTTTTGGACCTTTGATGTTGATAACAAAGGAAAATTTTCAGTTTAAGCTGGAAATACTACTGTATATGGCTTGTTAGGATTTCTGTGAATGCTAATCTGTCTCAAAAATGTTGCTTATCAGTATTATGTTTTCCATATCTGTCTCATTATAAAAAGTCCAGAATATTCCTTGTCTAATTCCAAGGCATGTTGTGTAGATAACTCTGCACAGCTAAAGTTAAATCTTCTGTTGCAAATGCTACATTATTTCTAAGGAATGTTTTAAAACACTTGCCACATATCTCCATATTGTCCATGTAGTGGATAGTTGCCAGTTTTCCTTTTTGTGGTTTGCTTACCATCTTTGTTATTCAGTTCTATTTGTACTACTGTGTGAATATTTGTTGCTAAACTTAGTACAGCCAACGTACCTGTAAGTACCGGTACTTATGTGCTATGGAACGTTCCCCTCTTAGTTCATATGGTGTGGGATGCCATGGGTTGCCAGGTGTTTGATTTTATCATTATTAATGTATTTGCGTGCATCCATTACTATGTAAGAAATTTGTATCTAATTTTGGCTTCCAGTATTATATACCTCACACTTGGTAATTTGTAATTTTCCAGTCTCAAATTACATTATATTCACCAAGAGAAACTCTAAACACCATTCCAGGCCTCATTGGCCCACTGCTGTAAACCATTACATGTCCAAACCACCTGGAGTGTGATTCCATTATTTGTAGCACTATATTTACTCTTCAATTTTCCCACTAGTAATTATTCCTACACTGGTAGCTGGTTTCATAGCTTGTATCCGTTTTCATGTTAGTAATTGTCACTTTAAATTTCATGATAAATTTATCAAGGTTCTCCCCGAGCTTGGCCCCTCGACTTGTGATAACTTCCTTCAGTCTGTTGCTTGGAGTGGCCCGCAGGCCTGCATAGCCATTGCAACCTGGTTGGTCTGGCACTTCTTGCAAGAACTTATTTAAATGTTTCTTGAAAACTTCCACTTTTGCTCCGGCAATATTTCTAATTTTTGTTGAGAGTATTTAACAGCTGTGGACCTCGGATGTTCAGACCGAGCTCTCTGCTTGTGCCTTGTGCTTGTGCATCTACTCATCGCTGGTTCTATTCATCACAGATTCACAAAGTTACTGTATTACAGAAACCTCAGGTTTAGAAACTTGTACGTTATATCAAGGCAGGCGATGAGTCACAATAACGTGGCTGAAGAACGTTGACCAGAACACACACTAGAAGGTGAAGGGACGATGACTTTTCGGTCCGTCCTGGACCATTCTCAAGTCGATTGTGATGAGGGAGGTAATGCAGGCAATAAATAATAAAATTATTGCCTGCATCACCTTCATCACAATCGACTTGAGAAGGGTCCAGGACGGACCGAAAAGTCGTCGTCTCTTCACCATCTAGTGTGTGGTCTGGTCTACATTACTGTATATCAATTTACTAATCTATGAGAAGCAGGTCCTAATAGATTTCTGTACATAGCACTTACTGGCACATGCCTCCTCCCACTCCCAATAGTGGGTTGGACACTATTGCATTTATGATAACTTCTATACACTATGGTTAAGAAATTTAAAATATTTCATACTTAAAATGGCACAGTACTTTATTTAATGGTTTGAATTTGTTTTAACTCGCATCTTTTAATTTCAGGAGGTGGAATGAATGGTCAGATGGGTGGACCTCGCAGCTCTGGAGGTCTCTTCAACAATCCTATGCCAGACAGGTAACCTAAAATAGCTTTTATACCTCTTTTGTGCATCTGGGTTTTGAGTCTGTTTAAGCACTCTTGGTGATAGTCAGGATGTTAGTTCATGCAGGGAGGCCTGGTCGACGACCGGGCTGCGGGGACACTAAGCCCCGGAAGCACCTCAAGGTAGGCCAGCTAATCAAAAGTGGTTTGTTAGAATGTTCATAGCTTTTTGTCCTGGTTGTATGGTGTTCTATGGCCTATTTGAATAAAAGTTTTTTCAAGAAGAAAAGTCAGTCTTTTCTAGTACAGGTGGTCAACAAATGGAAAAATATTGAAAATACAAGTGGTGTGGAAGCCACCTGTCAATTTCAAGAGCAGTTTAGACAAGTGACCTAAGTGGAAAAATGTTTTCAGAATTTGTTTCACATATGCCTTTCTTGGACTAGGTATACTTCAATCAGTTGCAATTAACTTGTATCTTGTTTAATTTGTGTGGTTTTGCTTGTTAATAAACTTAAGGGGGCTTCTTGTATGTAATATGGAGAACAAAACATTACATTTTCTCTCTAGGCTTGGACTGAACAATGGAATGAGCAATGGAGGTCTCCGTGGTGGAGGATTGATGGGTGCTGGTGGACAAGGCCAGGGTGGACCATTCATGGGTGGAGCTGGTGGGCCTGGGGGTGCATCCCTCTCTGGTATGGGCCAACCACAGCCAGGTCTACCTCAGCAAGGTGCTGTTCTTATGGTTTATGGACTAAACAAGGATAAGATGAATGCCGATCGCATTTTCAACCTGCTTTGCTTGTACGGCAACATTGTGAGGGTAAGATAAAAATGTGAACATTTGTAAATTGTTTTCCTTTGTGGAAGATCTTGAAATAATTGTAAGTCATTAAAATTAAGTTGTGTAAATGTGTGTTATTGTTTAAATTTATCAAATATATTAGTTTTAACAATTATATAAAGGTATGTTGGCGCTATTAACAATGGCTTTCTTACAGATTAAGTTCTTGAAAACAAAGGAGGGTTGTGCTATGGTGCAAATGGGAGATGCATTAGCTGTGGAGCGTGCTGTTGCAAACCTACATAATACCACATTCTTTGGTTGCAAGATGCAGTTAGGGTAAGTTTAACTACTTTATTGACTGCCATTCTTTCCTAATTAAGGATAATTTAATAATCATACATAAGTGGGGTGCATTAAAGTTTTACAAAAAAAAAAATATTCTGGCCTTTGTGTAAACTTCTCTCAAAATTCTTTATCTGCCTGAGACTGAATACACATGACAAAATTCTGATAAATGGGACATGTATTACCAATATAAATTTTTAGGAGTTTTTAAAGTTAATTAAAGGGTAAGCTGTGTCTTGTATAGCTGCACCAAATTATATAGGCCTTGTTGTCAAGGGATGCAACATTCAAAGTTAAGTTACCTATACTTTAAAAAGAAATTGCATATAATATAAGGTTCATAATGAAGGAACAGGCCTTTTCTTGCTACTACAGAAATAAAGATAATGATTATTTTTTTATGCAAGAAAGAATAAGTAAAAAAAAAAAATGAAGCATCTCGCTGAAAGGGTTAAAAAGAGACTCCTCCCCTTAGTATCTCGAGTAATGCTTTTGGGAGAAATTTGTTAGATATGGAAAAATTCATACTAAAAATGTAATACAGTAAAGGCAAAAGGTGAATTTAATAATTTGTTTTTTATGTAGTTTTTTATTTAACATTTTGTGCATTGTGAACACTGGCTTTATATTGAATTGTAATTTTTATTCTATCATTGGATGCTTGGTTCACTTGTCACGCTGTAGAGCAGTGGTTGCCGAGAGTCTGGCAAGAGAGGAGGGTAGGCGTGGCGGGAAGATGCAGGGACAATGTTCTCGATAACATTGTTGTGGATAGGGATTTCCAGCTCTGATAAACATCAAATACCAAATAAGAGAGGTTTCTTTGTGTTCACAAGTTTCTTGAATTTGATCTAATACAAGGTCTATATTACCCGACAAATAAATTCATACCTCATACTATTAGTACCATAGAGTTTGTGTACTTAAGATTGAATATGTAAGAGGATCATCTCGAGTATATTTTCATGTTGCTGCATTGTTATTCTTTCTTGATGTCACACGATAATGTTATAAAGTAGTTGTTTTATTATGAATCGAGCACTAAAAGTTGTTTGTTTTGGTTCTTGTGTTTTGTATTATAAGGCTGGTGTGGCATGAACAAATCTTTATTCCAATAGTTCAGCCAAAAAAATTGTTTGGGAGCCACTCGAATGTGTGCGTGTATATATACAGTATATATACATATGCATAGTGAAGGGCATAAAGTTGCTTTTCTACTTAATCTGGCCTTTCCTCGATTGTCAGTAATGTAGCATTGTTGCCAGGAAGAAATTTCTTCAATTAAAAAATAATTAGTGATTAACATTTGAAGCCAAATTCTCCTAAAATTTTAAGCATGTGTTTTTGTGGGATATTATTTTTACTATATAAAAATTGTATTGCTTTATTTATAATTGGTTATGACTTTTGAATTGTAAAAGTTCACAATGAGTATTTATATAATTTTGAATTTTTCTTGTAGGTATTCGAAGCAAGCTTTCTTGGCTGATGTGCAGCAGCCATATGATCTACCAGACGGTACTCCATCATTCAAGGACTACATGGGCAACAAGAACAATAGATTCATAAACCCAGAAATGGCTTCAAAGAACAGGATACAGCCACCTTCAAAGGTAGCTCATTAATATTCTCTCCACTTTTTGTGTAACAGTTGACATGATTTCTTAAACATTGTGTTCCACCATATTTCTGGTTGCTTTGTTTTCCCACTCAGTTCTACTAAAGGAAACCTGCCTTTTTTTTCTTTGTATGTAGCAGAAGCAGTTCATCAAACTGCTCCACTTTATGGATTAGGATGTTTGGGGAGATTGCCTAGGTGGAAAAAATATATTTCCAGACTTGGCATAAATAAGTGCCTGAGCTAGTTCAACAAAATTAGGTGTTGGGGCAACATGACTATTATGTCTGCAGTGTGTGGGGCAATTGCAGGTCTCTTAATTGTTGGTTTGTTCCAGATTCTGCACTTCTTCAACACCCCCCCAGGATTGGATGAGGAGACACTGAAACAGGTGTTCATTGATGGGGAAGTTACTGATCCCAAGAGCATCAAGCTTTTCCCATCAAAGAGTAAGTGTGAGTGACAAGTGTGTGAGACTAAGGATCTCAATTAACCACCATTTCTTTTTTCTGTTGATGCAAATCCTTTGACAGATATAGCTGAACATATCTTCTATAAGATGCTTATTATAGCATTTCAGAATATTGGAATCCTAACTCTAAATCCTAATTCTACATTTGATGATATTGCTAAAAAAAAATTGTTTTTGTTAATAAGTAACACATTGATAATCAGCTAAGTCTGTCACTGGCATTTTGCTACCATGGATATAAGTGAATATTTCTGAAATTAATTGTTATATAATATTGTACTATATTACAGTTTGCATAAGAGCCTTTTCATTATTTAGATCCTTCATCTCACACAGCTGAGAGGAGCTCCAGTGGACTCCTCGAGTTCGCTAACATCTCAGAAGCTCTGGAGGCATTAGTGATTGGTAATCATGCCCCTATCCCTAACCCCAGTAAGTATTAGTTTGGTGCTGTTCTTGATTAGACTTTTGTTGTTTATGCAATTATTTGTATTAAATTATTTCTTTTTTAACTTTTTGACCTTTTGAGTAATTCAAATTTGTAATTTGCCAACAGACAGCAAGTTCCCATTCATCATGAAGCTCTGCTTCTCATCTTCAAGACACATCCCCAATAAGATGGCTGAGTGAGGTGTCCAGCTGCAGCAGCAGCAGCAGCAACAGCAGTGACCCTTTGTACCTGGGTCATTCAAGCTTCATTGCTGTTACAGTGACCTGCAGGGTACACCAGGGTTGTTGGCAGCCAGGCAGGGAATAATGGGGTTGTCAATATCGAGCAGAGTTGCTTACAGTCCTATAGACTGTGAGTAATTATGTAGTTATTTACAATCACCTTTGTATGTTCTTAACCCCCAGAGACTATTAGTACTCTGGAATTATCAATATTTAGTTTAGTGTATAATAGTTTCTGGGAATTATTGACAGCCAGGCAAGACTGCTGGCTTTGTGGTCATGAGACGGTTGTTAGGGACGTTCATGCTTCCCACCTATCAATGGTCGGGGGCCTAGTGTTTCTCTTCTCGCTGGACCCCTCAGGGAATAATCACCGAGAATGTCTGACTAGAGGCACGCAAATAATTTCAGGAAGACAATTGAGTTGTGTATATATATATTTAATAAAATTAATATATATATATATAATATATATATATATTAAATAAAATATATACACATACCCCCATACATGTTAAATATGATTTGTGAGCTTTTAATGTTAGTCGTCCAATTGTCCATTTTTGAAAAGCTAATGCGGTGTCAGTTTTTGTGCTTTCTGTTGTGTACGTGAAAATTATTGAATATTAAGAGCAGTTGGGTTCAAAAGGTGACCTGAATTGGTGCAAATGCTGAAAGTTGACTGTATTCTTTGTTATGCATATTATCATTAATATGCTGTTCTGGACCCCTTATTTTTTTAGATGAATAAAGTGTAAGTGGTCATATTCGTAATGTTTTCCTGAGGAGCCCAGCAATTGTCATAAGTAGGATAAGTGCAGTATAAACCCTCCCTGAGTTGGAAGCTTGGGCAGTATCCTGCTGTCCGTCCTACGCTCTCTTTATATGACCGTTATTATTCTGAATCGTATTACATGAGGAGGTTAAACTGGGTAAGCTTCTGTAACTGATCAAATTTTAATTGAAATTTGAGTACATTAGAAAAATTTACTCAATTTAGGAAATTGAGGTTAAGAAATTTTAGTTGGCAAGTCTTAAATCTTTTGACTGCTAGTCCATAATTTATCTTGGTGGAGTTTACCTGGTGTATCCTATAAGCTCATTCAGTGGAATGTACAATGCTGTTCAACAATAGTGTGTTATGTTTCTAAAATTATTCCATGATTAGGCACAATATTACTTTTTTGAACTGTTTACTCTATAATACTGATCAGTTCACTGTAATCTTTGATGGACACTGATCCACTCATTGGTATGTTAAGTATAGGTCACCAGTTAACTTATAACGTGGATCTTACCTGATATTATGGACGTGTGTGTTAATATCATGAAGTAGCTAACTAGAGGTAACTGGTCTTTGTTGCAATAATAGTCAAAGGATCTGCCATTCTTAATTTTGTGTTAATTTCAATAAGGCTGGTCCTGTCTGTTTGGAATGGATTGACGAGCTGTATAGAATCTGCTTCCAAAGCTAATAATGGCAGAGTTTTTGACAATAGTCTTACACTGATGATGAACCACTGTAAGTTAGTAGGAGGCAATGTTAGTGGCAACAAGGATACATTGTTGGTAAATGTAGGTGTAAATTGGTAAGCTATGGCAACAGGGCAGATACATTAACAAGCACTTGATACATTTACAGTCCCAGCTTGTTACACTGCCCCACTGTCAAAGCCTAAGTGTTTTAGAATAGCATTTTAATGCTTTTTCACTTTCTCTTTCTTAGTTTATTTTATCTTATTTTTAAGTAGATGGTAAAATGGTGTCATTATACTTAGTTGGACTCTTTGAGCTAGTAAGCTCCTAGCTTATGATTGCAGCAGGACATGACAAAAGCTCTGTCTGTCCCCTTATTCATACTCCTGGTTTATGCCACACTATTTGTTTTGCCTCTAACAATAATTCAATAAAGTTTTGAGTGACCAAATTAAAAACATGCAGACAAGAAGTTCAAGCAAAGATTTTAGGTGTTCAGTGCTGATATTTGCCAATGAGTAATCATTCACTATATTTTGACTTTAATCCAACTCTGAAAATTGTTATTCTTGTGCAAATCCTAGTCAGCAACACATGGTACTTAACATAGGGTTTTAAAGATGTCAAGTTATGTTTATTATTATTTAACATACCTTTTACTGCAAGCAAAAAACATGACATTACACATTACTTTTCTTGAACTTCCCATCTACAGACATGGCTTTCACTCACACACCCTCTACCCGCAGCCAGAGAAACTTAAGACTACAGTAAACTACAGAGCCAAAACACAGGAATACAGCATGTCTAAACAAACCCAGCTCATTTCTTAAGTGGGATTATTTATGGAGAATTTACTCATGGCAGGGTTGAGTTTAGAAATCGGTTTTATTTACGTTTTTCTGTATAGAACATTAAATATTTTTCTGATAAATATAACTTGTATATAATTTGACAAAGCAGCTTGTGTTTTTAATGAACACGGTAAAGTCCGTTTCAGTATTCACCAATCATCAACAGCAGAGTGATCTGTGGTGATGGTGTCTTATTTCCTCCTCCTTTGTGCAACTTTACCACTTCTTTGGTCAATGTTGGTAATAGTCTGTCAGACATACTGCCAGGTCCCCCAAAAAACTATCAAGAATGAATGAGATTGGGCATGGTGGTGATGTGCATATACCTGATATTTAAATAACCCCAAAGTTTTAATGTAGTTATATTGAGATGATTTAAAGAGTTTCTCATGCATATCCTGTTTTTCCTGGTATATTTTTGAGATTGGCTAATGAACTAGATGTTTTTTTCCCTTCCCCCTACTTTACATTTTACCAGAAACTCATTTTTCCCAATGGACATCTTGCTACTAGATCATTGGGGGTGATAAGTAATTACAGAATTATTCTTGGAATTATAACATTTTAATGAAATGCCCCATAATGGGTGTAATTTATAAATATATTCCACATGACTTTTTGAATCCGTTTAGCTTAGAGTAATGGGGGGGGGTTAATGCTTTATCATAAAATTTTATTTAAATTTAATTAAAGTTAAAAATTGAAGATGGGTTATGTAATTTTTTGTTCTTTTATGGACATTTCCACTGCAGGAGGTTAATAATGCAGATTTAGTTTTAGACTTGAACTTTGATCACCAATAAATACTTAATGTGGTCTAGGAACAGCAAACAGTACAAGTTACACCACATGAAAATACTAGACAGATAAACAAAAGAAACGAAACTTTTGAACAATCATACTACTGTACATGCAATTCTGGAAAACAGAGGTGTCATGGGCGACATTAAAGAACACTCACTCCACATACAGGAATGGAAATTAACAAGCTTTTTTCCTAATTTCACTTTTGTTCCTTTGTTTGCTGATATACTAGCCTCCTGAGATTATTGTATTCAAGTTCAAAGCCAACTTGGTACAAAGCACGATTGTACTAAGGTAAAGCAAGCCTGCCAAATATGTAGATTTTCCTGAGGGGCGCACCACCCACCACCCGTCACAGCCAGTGTGGCAGCATCCTTCAGACTGCCGGTGGTCACTAGGACAAGTGGGATTGGATTTTATATGGGGATACTGCCTACCATAATATTTAGAAAGAAAAATTTAATTGCTGGACTTTTTAAGGGTTGCTTTCGGGAACTTCTGCCCGCTGGTGGTGGTGGTACAAAGTTGGCCTCAGGTACAGCAGTAGCCGTTAACCAGACAGTGAGGGTGTTAACTTAAGTAGTTGTTGCAAGACATTAACTGCTTACCTAATATATATATGCCTCCAGTGATGGCTATGGTTACTGCTGCTGCTGGTGATTTAAGAGTTGTGGAGCGGGGGTGTGCCCCTTTCTCCTCCGTGCCAAGCGTGGTTGTGTCTGAGGCCGCGTGAGTGTGGCGACGTAACTGCTGTATAGGTCACGTCCACCTTGGTGTAGGTGTCCGCGTGAACGGCCAGGGAGGATGTCTTCACCTACCCACCCCCCGACCCGGCGGCTCCCGAGCCCCGAGACTCCGCTCATAAGCAATACTGACCTGACGCTCAGGTTATGAGGGCGCCCTCCCTGGTGTGCCCACCTGGACTACTAGGCTGTTTAAATGGTTTTCTCTGATAAGTCGTTGAAATGTCGTTGCAAAATGTGCTTAAGTAGAGAATGTTTATTACTTCTTGAAATCGTCCCAATAGAGTGAATCACTTGATGCATATCATAGCACTAAGGTTTACTGTGCCACTGAGCCAGTACCACTGGGACTGTGCTGAGCTGACTGCCAACTGGCACAGCGCATCCATGGGCCGTATAAAATTCCATCTCGGGGAGGCCAACAGCCAGACCTGTAATATTACCTGCATTAAACGCCCTAGGTATTGTAGTTCTGTGGCCATTACACGTGGTCTAGAGAACACTACATAGGAAGCAGTAGTGTAGGAGAACTGGTTGGTGGTTCGGCCTATGGAATAGTGCTGTGCTCGGGTCTGTCCGGCCCCCTAGTTTGGTGTCCATCAAAATGCAGGACTATATACCAGACAGGCGGCGTGTCCAGTTATGGCCGACTCGTGGTGAGGGCAGCGGCACGGACCCGCCAGATCCCCCCTACACCATCCCTTGTTCCAGGATTGCGGAGTTATTTTAAAAGCATAACAAACATTATAATTTCTCTTAATCCATATGTTGTTTGTAAGAATTTTAAGGAATAAAATGAATAATACTTTAGTATAAAAAGAGAAAATACAGACTTTGATTTTCATGTGGTGTCCTGTTACGATATGATCACTCTATCTTGAAAAAGATTTACTAGGCTATATTTTTTTTAATGTTTTAAATCTGCATACTTAACAAAACTAACAAACATTTTGTAGATGGGTGTCCTTAGACTTTCCAAATAATTTTAGTGGTTTTTAGGATATTTTGCTTGACATTAACCAGTGATGTTTAAAATATTGATATATGATTTGAGTTTTGATGGATGTACTAAAACATCCGTCTATGTATCCATCTCTCTTTATCTCTTAAAAAATATAATTGACCAGTGTTGATCACCAGTGATAGAAACTTGGTGTGAAGTACTAAAAAAAAAAAAAATCGGGTCAGTGGTGTGAGAAGGTTTTGAAGCTGTGGAATTCCAATGTGTAGAATCCTTAGATTTTAATTTTTAGTAGATTTAAGAGTATTTTTTCGGGTTGCCAAGTCATATTGGCATTACCTCTAACTCCATACTCTTAGACGTGGCGTAGTTATCCTACCACCATCATAGGCAGTGGGAAACAGTTCCGACTAGGTTGTAACTTTGCCACAAGTGTTTTAACTCCTTGTGTTAACTCCTTTAACTTTAAAAACTTATGGAACAATGCCCAGATTATTATTGTTCAAGCTAGGTAGTTTTGCATTTTGTAGAATTAACATTTTCTGGATAATCATGTGTTGTTTTTCCTATGTGAAGAATCCTTGGTGAATCTGATGGCTTTGACTCATAGTGCCTTTTCGTTCTCACTTTAGCATCTTGAGTGATGGGACCTTCTGAATATCCAGCGACACACTGTACTGGTCTTCCACAGCTTTTTTCACTATTATTCAACACCGGCTGTAGCTTGTGATAGTTTGTTGTCATGGTTACCAGGCATGACTTTAAAGTTCGATATAAAAAGTACACTATAGCTTCCAAGTCTTTCCCACAACAGCTCTTGTCACTATAGGAGCTTACTTTTAAGGGAATATGTGGGGGGGGGGGGGGGTGCCGTGCAGGTGTTGCCCCGTGCCCGCAACCGGTGTTTCATCTCCCATCTGTATCCAACTAGCTATTTATCTATGTATCTATCCAGCTCTGTGTGTCTTACAAAAATATAATTGTCTAATGGGGGTGATCGCCAGTGAGAGGAACTTGGTGTGAAGAACGTAACAAAAAAAAAAAAAGTAGGAAGCCTTTGAAGTTGAGAAGGAATGTCTTATACGAGTACGGGCAAATTATTGACAACAGGGAGTTTGTTACCCGAAAAAGTGAATAATGGTGCATATTACTATAAGAATTCTGTACCTGTTTGGTCCTGCTACATGACCCGAATGTTTAAACATCTTCCGTAATGAACCATCCTCTCCTCCCCCAAGCCTAGGGACGGAATGACTACCATATCGTTTTTGTTATGAGACGGGCAGCCTGTGTGTGTTAGACATATATCAAGGTCCCCCAAGGTTGAACTGCTGACCCTCCCCAGGATGAAGCAAAGACAATTTGCAAACTCCGTTCCTATTTACTGTTAGGTGCACAGGCATTTGGTGACGGAACTTCCCCAGCCTCTTACCTTTCCTCAGGACGAGAGACCTGCAGTTCCTTCTTTTCTGGCTTGACCTATGCCCGGGGTTTACATAGTGCTCCTATTACCCACTCTCCTCAGGTCCACGATTGATTAATAATGATTAAAGCCACCCCAAGAGGTGGCACAGTCACGGTCTTGCTCCTAGTCAATAACTGGTCCACAACAGTTTCCAACTCGTAAACCCCGAGACTTCCACAAGCACCTCTTCTCTACCCCACTACCCGTAGGTGTTCCTCTGATTTCACCGGCAGGCGTTTCAGTTGTATATAGGCCACACATGCTTAACTCGCGGGTTGCTGGATTTAAGCATGTGATGATTAACGGGATGGAACGCTGTCTTGCTGCTTTTTGTCCAAACTGCATTATCCCACTTGCCGTGTCGTGCACCTCCTTGCGAATGTCCCTGACAATATTTATATTAATATTTCTATGAAAATCGCGCATTAAGCTGAAAAAACTGCAAGGATCTGAAAGTGATGTATTGGATCTGTTCATTGCATCCTCCAAAAAGAACTGGGATTAATTAAGTCAAGTATGGAAGATCCGTAGCAAGTTTCCGGAACTAGACGCTTTCTCAACTTCAGTCTCGCTTCGTATGTAACAATACCTACTCCGTCCACTGACGATCTCCAGTCTTTCCTGGTTGGCGCCTTCTGATAATTACTTGATGACGCGCTCTGCTTGGATAATTATGAATCACTAGGGTTAACCCCACACTTGAGCACAGTTGACTCAGTTCTCTCATGGCTCTGAGAGTTAATCCAGTCAATCCGGTGGAAGTCGAGATTCAACATTGGCGATTTCTTCTCCAGTAGATTTAAGACAGTTTTGCTGGGTTCCCAGCCATATTAGTCTAAATAAGCGTGTGAACGCTGCCGCTAAGGAAGCTATCCGCACTTGTCCCATCTTCCGTAAAGGTATTCCGTATTCTGACTTTTACCCAGTTATTCATTCCTCCATCCTTGCCCGTTGGCAGGATTGTTTGTCTTCTGTTACTGGTAACAAACTGCGTACTCTTAAGAGTAGCGTGTCCCCATGGCCTTCCTCCTACCACCGTAACCGGCAGTGGCAGGATATTGGCATCCTTCGTGATATTTAGCGCTCTGATTATTCCGCACATTTGATGGTGCTACATAACCTTCCCGGCTTGGTGCCTTCTTTTGAAAAGTAATTATTTGAGCAGAATAAACAGAACTTTAATTAAATTAAACGTGTCCTTGAGATATTACCTGGTTTTGTGAATTGGACTTTTCACTCGCATTATCTGTTGTGCACTGCTGCTTATCCAAATCCAATAATTTGTTCTGTATGCTATATCGTCTTTTGTTTTGTAATTTTAATTAGCGTTTCCTTAAATCAAGTTGATAATTAAGAATTTCATTGCTATGGCGGCATTGTTGATTCTGGTTGCGGTGTTGGGTCCCAAATCTACTCTATAAAATAACAACATACTGGAGTGAACGATATGGAAAAAAATGCAGCATAGAACCAATGAAGAGCAGGGGTGCCATAAGCACATTCGAGAACACTGTATAAACATCGGAGGTACACGGTTGTTCAACATCCTCCCAGCAAGTATAAGAAATATTGCCGGAACAACCGCGCCTTAGTCGACTGCGCCACGACATGGTTAAAAAGAATTGCAACCGTAAGTGCTACTGCCCTCATACGGATCCCGCAGCCTCTCCAAGACTCAAACCGGGGTTTTACACAATTCCCCCCCCCCCCCCCATGCACCCGGGCTGTCAACCAGTTCTTGTACATATTGATGCATGTATTATGTACATATGTTGTACACAGTTGATGTACATATTAGAGGACCTTGTATGCTCAGAGCCCCTAAATTCTACGAATTAAGTGGTAGAAATGATTGATTGATATTTTTTTTTTTAAGATTCTCAGACAAATCACCAGATGCAACGGTTCAAGAATTCACAACAGATAAGCAATAGTAGAGATTAACCTAGAAGGCCCTAGATAATCTGGCAAACCCAATACCAGATAATACTGAAGTCCTTGGGACTTAAGCTACCCAGTCTATGATGGTAAGAGGGCAAATAGCAATGTTATACCAGGAAAGTATCACCGACAGGTCGGGGAACTACTTGCATTCAGTGACAAATTTTCGCTCAACACCATCTAATCTTCACAATGAAGAAATAATTGGGGACATTATTATATCAAATACCACGTACTCGGTTCACAAGCAGATTGAAGTGCAAACATAAAATCAATACTCAACCCGTCCTCTTTCAAAAAAGCAAAAAGCGACGTAATTTTAACTTGAAATAGTAAAGAGAGCACTTAAGCACACTCTTCAATGTGCTCATATGTGCCACATTGTTGGTCTATACCCAGACAAAAGGGTATTCATTTGTTAATTATTTCCTTTATTAGATGCGTACCCATTCGAGAACTTTCACCATTAAATTAATTTGCATTAATCTGTCCTCTTACAAAAAAAAAAAAAAAAAAAAAACGTAATTTGGAAGAGGACTGGTTGCCTAGTATGCCCAAAAAGTGTCAAGCGAGAGGGGCCACTCAATAAATTCAATTTTAACAATACTGTACTATGATTAATTTTGAAAAAATGAACAGAACTTTCAAACATTCAATAGGAAATCTTAAATAACAGAAACCCCCCACATGGAAAAAAAATTAAAAACCGAAGAATGCAAAAGTCTAAAACATGTCTGCGGAAAGTCAGAAAGAGGACCAGATTGAAAAGAGAACGCAGATGACGCTACAGAAGGAAAAATAACTGAAATTACTTGTTTCGAAGACTTTGGAAACATGCAGGTTTTTACTAATAAAAAGTTTCGATTGGGCAGCGGAAAGTAACATGATGTTTAACACTGATAAATTCCAGGTACTTTGGTATGACAAAAATTATCAGATCTACCCATGTAGGAAAACATGCAAAGGATCTAGGAATAATGACGTCTGACAACCTAACCCTTAGGAAGCATAACCAAGCAAATTAGTGTCTGCTAGAAAAATGATAGGATGAATTACGAGGACATTCACATTAAGGATCCCATCACAATGCTCTTTCTTCTAAAATCACTTGTGCTTTTCCCACCTTGAGCATGGCTCTATTCTCTCCCCCTTTCAAAGCAGTAGAGTTCTGAAATAGTGAGTACTGAGAACATGACGACACGCATAGACAAGATGAATGCACTTAAATCAGACCATCTCGGCTCTCAAAATGCACTCTAGAAAGGAAACGAAATAGGTATCACACTATGTACATGGAAGATACTGGAATGCTAGGTTCCAGACTTGCACTCGTAAAGTAACATACTGGCGTGAACGATATGGTAAGAAATGCAGAATACACATATTAAAGAGTGTGCTTATGTGTCACATACGGTGCCACACCATTAATTTGCAGGTCACTGATTTTACTACATGCAGT